TTGGTAGATATTGAGGAACCATTTCTGTTAAATGACACTAATTGATACACTAGGAAGAAAAGGTGCCAGGGAAATATTTGTATGATTTGAAGTCAAATTTATTGAATTTAGGTTCATGTGTTTTAGTTCTCTCCGTATATCAGTCTAATAGATTATAAAACCATCTTATATATTTGGAAAACCTTGTCAGATATGGTGTAATTCTCCAAATATTAATGGTAAGAGAGGTGTTTAAAGATGTTTAGTGGATGTGAGGGCTGTGAATTTGAAATTGCCATTGGAGAAACAGGAAAAGGACTATCATTGTAGAGGTAGAAGAGATGTTGTTTTTAGAATGTTTTCCAGAGGCATCTTTTGGTATATATTTAAGAAAACTTGAGTGCTCTTGAGTAAAGAGAAGGTTTGAGATACAGTCCTGAAGATATATAGGCCATTATTAATTTGAAGAAGGGTCAAAACCAGAATATTCAAGTGAAGATGTTTAAGAGGCAATAGAGGATAAAAGAGCTGAGTCAGAGAGGATGGAAAATTGCACTCAGAGGCTGTTTTAGATAATGAAATTAAATAGCATGCATTTCTTAACAGGTACATGGATTATATACCAAAAGATTTTTTATTGGTTGGTCACAACACAGACCACGCTTTCCTTAGAAACGATGTTATACATGGCTTTTAGGTCATAGGCTCTAAGCCCTTCAATTTAACCTTGAGGGCAAAAAGGGGTGATCCATGTCCCTTACAGAGCTTGCAAATATTATTTATTAATACTTACCGTTTTTATAAAAAATACGAAACATTAAATCTTAAAATTGAATCTTTCTTTGTCTCTGTCTCTATCTTACACACACACACACACACACTGCACACACACTGCTTTTTCAACCTTTATTAAAAATTTACATTTGGTAAGACTAAGTCTGCATGCCTAGACAACAAACGCAGTGGCAAATATAATCATCTGAGAGGGTTAAAACGCACCTCTTTTGAGACTTTACTGTAGTCCCCTACAACTTTCTTTTTTTTTTTTTTTTACCTCTAACTGCTTCACAGTTTTATCTTGGGGTATTTTATGAAAACATACATTTGGAAAACTGTCAGGTTGGGTGTATTTTGCAAAGATTAATGGTGAGAGAGGTGTTTGAAGATATTTGATGAATGTGAAGATTATGAACTTGACATTGTCTTTGGAGAACCAGGAAAAGGACTATAATTATAGAGGTAGAAGAGACTTTATAGAGACAATGGTATATACTTAAAACTTGAGTGCTCTTTTGTGAGTGGTATTTTGTAATTCTCATAATATACTTGTTTACCATATTACTGTATTATTCTTTGTAGTATTATTTGCCTTGAAACCTAACCACTGCACGCAGTAATTTTTATAAGTGAAATATGCTTGGATTACAAATGAGATACCAGGAATAGATTCTCTATCATTCTAGTAGGTTTGAATTTCCCCCCTTGTCTTCTGTTGTCTGTAAATCCTCTGAAGGATTTCATTCCTTCCTTAACTGTTGGCTGTTTCCTTTGGCTAGAAAGGATATTGTTGGATTTATATTAAAGAAAATAAAAAAGTAAAAACCACTTGGGTTGTGTTGTGGAATGTGGGTTAGAGGGAGTTAAGACTGGAGGAAGGAGATTGTATATTCAGTAGGAACTTTACAACTGCCAGTCAGGAGAGAGGTGTGGACTGGATGTATACATTCAGGTATTGTTTGCAGCAAGGAATGGTTAGTACTGGAAATACAGTGGATGGTTAGGACAAAGGTCTAGAATGAAGTCTTGGGAAAAGTGACACTGAGGAGGTACTCTTAAGAATAGGAGCCAGCAGAGACTGAAAAAAGTTCACAGGGGTAGGAGAGGAATTCAGATAGAGGGGTGTCATGTAAGCCAAAGGGAGAGTTTTAAAAAGGAAGGAGTAGAAAATAAACTGAGTGATAGAAGTTAAACAAATCAAGAATTAAGAATTCACATTTGGATTTGTCAGCTAGGAAGTGATTCTTAAGCTGATTTTAAAATTTTAGCTTCAAGGATGTGAGGATTTAGTAAACCTTTGACCACCTCTGTGAATTTGTTCATGTTAAAAGAATGGAATCTTGTTTACTCTTATCCTAACAAAATATTCTTGTCATGTAACAGCATCGTGGGAAAAAAAAGAAAAGAAAAACAAAAATTTATTGATAAAAAGAAATAATCAAATAAATGAATAATAATTCATGATACTTTCAATGACTATATTAAGTTATCATCTAAACTGGGATACTTTTCAGGAGGAAAGGGATAACTATTAATATTTATGGTAAGGATGAACCTCATTTAACCCCGGCAATCAGGGAGGAATGCTCACCCTGATTATAGTTCACAGTTCACATATATTGAGTGCTAGCTACGTGCCAGACACTGAGATGAGGTCTTTACCAGTTTATCTGATTCAATGACTAAGGGTTTTGGTTGCCAACATTATTAATTCTTTCTTTGTATGTATTGAATTTATTGACAAAAATGCTATACATAATTTTAATGACCTTGTAGAACCTAACTTTTATTAAGAAAATTGGTACCCAGTGTATACCAAAGTATGTCCTAGGGAACAGAAATGGAGATGATTAATATATAGTACTCATTGTTAATAATCTACCAGTGTAGTTGAAGATCTGAGAACAAAATTTTAATGTAATATGGTAAAGTGTCATGATGATAATATAGTTTATGGAGGCTGCAGCTTGTACTTTATACTTTATGTCCTGTATTTCTTAGGGTTAAGTTTATAGTATATTAGAACTTAGTAAGGTAGAGTTTGCTTTCTTTAAAAAAAACCAAAACAAAACAAAAGCCAATGGAAAATATAAAGTATAGCTAATTATATGTAGAAATAGGGTTTTCTCTACCATGGAAAGTATATTCTGCGTGTGTGCACACGTGTGTATAAGTGTGTGTCTGTTTCTGTGTCTGTGAGAGAGAGAGAGAGATTAGTTCTATATCACAAAGGGATACATTTCCATATCTATAATGTAATTTTAGCCACACTCAAGCTATATTCTCTGAAGGGTCTGGCATATTTCTCTGACACATCTGGTAGATATGTATGGCATTAATTAGCATAGGTATTGCTATAAATGACATGTCAGTCCAGGACAACAAAAAGTATTTGTTACTGATGTCAATCATTCATCCTTTGTCAGTTCAAAAGGCTTCCCTAAAGGAATGCACATTGATCTTCACTGATCCAAAATACAGCAAAACCATTTCTGTGTTCTAGAAACAGAAGTGGAACTACCTATGTTTGAAAAGCCATATGGAGACATTCATACAGAAAGTGCATGTTTATAAATTTTAGTAGTAAGGCTGTTAAATTAGGGCAAGATTAATTGAATCTTTTGAAAAGAAAACAGCAGTTTTCTGTAATCCTAAAATCTAATCTCAAACGAATTTGTTTCCTCAAAGCTTTCATTTTTAGTAGCTTAATTGGTATTTTGTTTCATCTTGACATAAATTTGATGTATGCCAGGTATATATCGCTTACAATGGTTGAAAACAAAGGTGACCACATAAGTATCAATTTGTGACTAAGACTGATAGCTTAAAGAAGTACTCCTCTCTTGAGGGTGTAATGCTGAGCAAAATAAGAAGGACAAATATCATATATGTTTGCACATATAGGAGGATTAGGAGGAACTTAATGGAGGACCATGGGGGAGAAGAAGGGGCGAAATGGTGGGGGAAAGGGGGAGAGGCAAACCATGAGAGACTCTTGAATGCTGAGAAACAAACTGAGGACTGATGGATGGGGGATGGGGATGGGCATGGAGAGGGGCACTTGTGGGGATGAGCATTGGAAAAAGAAGTACTCCTCTGCCTCCATATCTCTGGTTTTTGTATCTGGCTATTTTGATATAGATATTAATTGATTTTGTTTATTTACCATAATGCCATTTTAGTTATCTTTTTGTAATAGTAATCACAAGTGTAATACTGTTATGTATCCAAGGAAAAACTGGCTTTAAGTGGTACGTTTCCCCTAAACATCTATATTTTATTTCCAGTTTTTCTCCAAAAGCTCCCCTACATTCTAATTATTATTTAATTGAAAGCAATATGAATGATTTTAAGAGAGTGTGATCTAGGGTATGGCACAAGTTGAAGACATTTATCTTAATATTTCATTTTAATGAGGCAGAAAATATCCATTATTAGAAAACTATAATTTGATAAAATTTGTAGACTACAATTAATTCCCTTAAAATTATGAATGTTCATACCACCATGGAGCAGATAATCATACATCACATTTCTGTGTCCTTGTAAAGGTAGTATGTGTTGCATTTTTACATCTTATATGTTTGCTAGAGAACTAACATGATTCAGGATTTAGGATATACCCATGTTATATACTTTAATTTGACCAACAGGCTTTGTTTGAATAGCAGTTCCTAACCTTTGTACCATCTTAAAAATTTTTACTCCAGATCTCTTACTCTGCCTACAGACCCTCTGCTATCTGTTTCTGGTCTGTCTTATGCTCTTAAAATCATCTTTTTTTATTATTCCATTAGATTTTTTAAAAATGGATTTTCCTTACACTTTTCTAATCATCCTGTAATTCTTTAGCTCTAAGACATTAAAATGAATGAGTAAAAATATTTGATACCTAATCGTCTCTGCCAGTCCATTCAAACTCATGGATTTGCAAAATTATGTTAAAGTCTTTTAAAAATACATTTGAGTAGGCTTTTGTAGTCATTTGGATTTTGAATATTAATTTTCTCTTGCTATGCTGCTTAGCCATAAAAATGAAAAAGAAGATAGATGTGGGTTTCTTTTAGTGGTGTTAATTTAAAGTACTTGATTTATTTATTATAATATTCAACAATGGCAATTCCTATTTTCTCTGTTCACATCAGATCCAACAGAAAATAATGAGAAGCCCCCACCCACCAGCACAGTAAGAAAAAGTTTGATGCGTTTTGTAATAATTGATTAAAAGTATAATTTCCCCCTAGATCAAACAAATAATAGAAGTCTGTTGAAGCTTTGTCCTGACCTATTCTGGAAGTAGAAGAATACCCTGGAGAAAGAAGCATTGTAAGCACAAAGAATAAGACTCCTCAATCCTGGGAGAGAGAATTAAAGTCTAACCCTCCAAATGTAAGTCATCTGTACTCTGTATTTTCCGTCCCTCAGTTGTTGTGGCTATTCAGGTATTAGTAGAAAAATATGTGATGCAAATATTTGGATGTATTTTCTGTACAAAATATAGAGGCATTTTGGTTGTTAACCTTAAATTTCTATTTTCTAAATAGTAACATAAGGTGAGGCTTTGCAATAATAATATTTAATGCAAAATGGATTATTTTTAATTTTATCTTCTGGCAAACGATTGTTAAGAATTTTGTGAGTATTCTGATGAAAAGAAGGTAACTTCCTTTGATTTAATATCTGCAATTGTGCCATCATAATCCCTTTTTGTGCTAAACTTTAGTTCTTTCTTTTTCTTTTTTATTTCTTTATATCTGAGAATAAGACTATCTTAATATATCTATTTAAATCCACCTTCCAGTAAGAGAGACAGTAAGTCCTTTTTCTTCACTTTGCATAGTGAAACTGAATTGGAATGAATTTGTATCCATAATCCACTATAAAAATATATAAATTTTGTCAGCTCAGTGTACTGGAAGGACTGATTCCTATCTTGTTAGGAAGAACTTAAAAGATGTGTGTTCATGATTAAATAGAAAGAATTCAGTTGCCGTTTAGAAATTGGTAGAAAGAATGATTAAAGAAAATGCTTGTTTTAGGAAAATTATTTGGGAAGAAATTTCTTGTCAATTGTCACTTTTATCTGAAAAGTTACTTACTGCATTGCCCTTGTGATAAGACACTTGATACGTGATATAAGGCTTACTGCCAGAAATTTGACTTTAGCTTAACAGTTGATAACCCTTTTCATTCTTCAGTGAAAGAACTCAGTGGAAGAGGATTGTTTTGATTTTAAAAAGTCTGAATCATGGAAATTATGTCAAAAATTGAAACATGAATTTTTACAGGTTTTAAATGTGATATTCTTATTGACATAGCATCTGACAAAGTTGTCAAAGTAGTATGCAGTAAGAAATCTTCATAGTTTCTCAGTTCACATTTAATCTTGATAGAACATTTGATAGAGCCTCAAAATACTGTGGCCATTTCCAACACTCTATAATTATGAATTAAGATTTTTGAATTTAGCAGAAACTATGTATATAAAAAATATTTTTGTAGTTTTGGTCTTAGATATTTAGTTCTAAAGTTTTTTGTCATTTAACTGGATAGAGATGCCTTGGGAAACACTACAAACATTATTATCCCTTTCACTGATGTGAAACCCATCGTTCCTCATGTAAAATTTTAATATTTGCTATTGAAAAATATAACAGAAGTTTTAAAAAGGTACTTAGACAAAGGTTTGACATTGATGAAGGATTGGAAAATATTATTGTTTACAGAAAACTTTTACTGATCTTCTCTACATCAATGAAAATAGATTAAGCATAGCAACAATAACATGCTCGTATCGCATAAACGTAATGTTGAGTGAAAAAAACCTAGACACAAAAAGAATAATGGAGTTATTATCTCTTTTATATGAAGTTCCAAAACTAGACTACAGTGTTTAAGGATGCAAGAAGTGATTACAACGAAATTAAAAATAATAGTTAAATTCTAGGTGGTAAACACTGAGGTAGAGTTTCTAGAAGCTTCTGATATGTCAGCAACATTCTATTTATTCACTAGGTTGGTGGTTGCATGGGTATTTATGCTATGCAAAGCCATTAATGAAAACTAAGTGCATCTTTGCTAAGATCAGGTGTAAGACAAGGGTGTCCTTATCACTCCTATTCACTATTATACTGGAAATCCTTAGCTAAGGTAATAAGATAGGAAATAAAAGGCATATATGTTGGAAAGGAAGAAATACAACTGTCTGTTTGCAAATACCATGATTATCTGTATAGTACATCTCAAAGAAATCAACAAAACAGAACCTTCTGTAAATAATAAATGATAACAAGTTTGCAGAAAACAAGATTAATATACAAGTCAGTTCCTTTTCTGTGTACCAGCAATGAATAACTGGAATTTGAAATGAAATATACAGTACCATTGGGGCACCTGGGTGGCTTAGTTGGTTGAGCATCTGATGCTTGATTTTGGCTTATGTCATGATCTTGTGGTTCATGAAATCAAGCCTCACATGGGACTCTGCACTCACAGTGTAGAGCCTGCTTGGGATTCTCTCTCTCTCTCTCTCTCTCCCTCCCCCCCCTTTCTTTCTCTGCCCCTCCTCGTCTCTTTCTCAAAATAAATAAATAAAACTAAAAAAAAATAAATAAAAATACAGTACCATTATATTAGCACCAAAAAATTCCTGAAACACAGGTACAAATCTATGCATATAATATAAAATAAAATATTACACATGTATAATATAAAACATATATTTAAAAATATATAATATAAAATTTATATATATAAATATTAGGAAAACTATAAAATTCTGATGAAAGATAAGAAAATTGAAGATCTACATGACATTCCATGCCTCTGCAGAAACAAATGCAATATAATTATAATGTCATGTCTTCTTTCCTTGATCTACGTATTCAACACAATCATGATAAAATCCCAACAGATTATTTTGTGAATATTAATAAACTGATTCTTAAGTTTATTTGGAAAACAAACAACACCAAATAAACAGTATTATACTGAAGAAGAACAAAGTCAGAGGACTGACACTCCCTGACTTCAAGACTTTGTAAAATGCCACAGTAATTTGGCACCTGGGTGGCTCAGTCATTTGAGCGCCTGACATCAGCTCAGGTCATGATCTTGCAGTCATGAGTTTGAGCCCCACGTCAGACTCTGTGCTGACACCTCACAGCCTGGAGTCTGCTTCAGACTCTGTGCTTCTGTCTCTCTCTACCCCTCCCCTTCTCATGTTCTACCTCTCTTAAGAAATTAAATAAACATAAAAAATAAAAAAAATAAAAATAAAAAGAACTTTAAACAGATCTAATGAAAAAAATATATGCACATGGTAAATAAGCAAATGAAAAGATGCTCAGTATTTATTTCATTATGGAATTAGAATTCTAACAATGAGATACCACTATATACCTATTAGAATGACTAAAAGCTGAAACACTAACATACCAAATGCTGTCGAGAATGTAGAGCAAGAAGGACTTTTCATTCATCATTCGTGGGAATGAAAAGTCATACAACCACTTTGGGAAGCAGTTTGGCAGTTTATTATGAAGTTACACATACATACAATACAATACTTCCCATGCAGTCTAGCTACTGCACTACCTGGTAATTACCCAAATGAGTTGAAACTTATCTCCACATGAAAATTTATACAAGAATGTTTATAGAAGCTTTATTCATAATTGCCCAAACTTGGGAGCAAGCAAGGTGTTCTTCAGTAGGTGAACGGATAAACAATCTGTGATACGTACATACAATGGACTATTCATTGATCAAGAGAAATGACCTATAAGCCACAAAAAGATATGGAGGAAATTTAATGTCAATGAATGAAGGTATCTGAAAAGGCTATAAGCTGTATGATTCCAACTCTCTGACATTCTGAAAAAGGTGAAACTATGGAGACCTTAAAAAGATCAGTGGTTGCCAGGGTTGGGCAGAGGGATTGATGAATTAGTGGATTTTTATCATTTTTAATTTTTAATTTTTGAATAGGTGGGCTTTTAGAGTAGTCAAACTCCTCGATATCATAATATAATGATGGATACATGACATTATGAATGTGTCAAAACCCATAGAACTGTATAAAACTAACGGTGAACCCTAACATAAGCTCTGTACTTTAGTTAATAAGTGTTATGAGTTCATTAGTTGTAGAAAATGTAATACACTAATGTAAGATGTTAATAATAGTAGAGACTTTATGTATTTTGGAGATGGGGAAGAGAATGTATATGGGTACTTTATATTTTCTTCTTACTTTCTCTGTGAATATAAAACTACCCTAAAAAAATATTTTAGATAATTTTTTGCACATCTAATATAATTTTAAAAAATAAAAAGTCTTAATGATTTGGTTAATTAGAATTCTGAGAAAAAGATAATTTTAAATTTGATCTTTTTGAGTATTCAAAGTTAAAAAGATATAATTTAAAATCAGTATTTTGTGATCTCACAAAACAGTGTGTTTCATTTAGGAAAAAGTACTGTCCATAAAGGAAGACTTCTACACTTGAATGTATTTAGTAACTTTTTATGAGCATTTATTTACCTAGCATAAATGTGTCTTTATTTTAAGATAGACATTTTAGTTTTGCTTTTAAAAATAAATACATTTTTGGGTAATATAACCCAAATTCATTCTGTAATAATGAAACATTTTTCTTTATTGAGTTGTTCTTTCCTTAAATTTTAATACAATTTGTGCAGGGGTCCACCATTCTGAGAAATACTTTTTTACTTAAGTGGAACTTTAATTTGTTAATTTTAACATTAGTATGTTTTAAAAAAATGAAAAAGACAGATGCTTTTTGTATCCCATCTTTGAATACAAATTTTCAAATATAGATTCAGTTTTAAAAGTACCAGATATGGACTTTTTCCTAATCCCCTTTAAAATTTTCTCTTCTTTTTTCTTTCTTCCCCTCCCTCTTTCCTTTCTCTTTTCTCTCCCAGTGTATTGTTTTGTTTAATTTTCTAAGGAGTAAGTATAATCTTATTTAACTGGTTGACATTAACAGAAACCAGGAATTTATTATTCATAAAAATGAAATAGAAAAATTAATCCCCCTTTTCTTCAGATTCTGGATATAGCTAGGCTCAACACAAATGTCTAGGGAGAATGCATCTGTTGCTATTGGATTTTTTTTGTTTCTCTGAAAACTTGGCATTTGTAATATATCTATGATTTTGATTTGTCTTGGCCAAAACCCAGATTACCAAGGAATTACATTTTGAACATATTCAACTAAGAATTATCTTTGTAGCAACTTTTCTCTTGCCATATTGAAATTTTGGGAATAAAATCAGATTTTGTTTCAGAAATCAGCTATGTTTCTTCCTGGTGCCAGAATGATTTTTTTTTATGTTAAAGAGACACAAAGCAATACTTAAAA